ACCACTTCGTCTGCGCCTCTCTCCATCCATTGCTGTGTAGTTAACCTCCCCTTTTATTTACCTCCCGTACAAGAAGGGCAGTTCCGTCGATCCCTCTGTGTGTGTGCGCGCGGGCGTATGTGCGCACGCACGTCTTTCGAGCTTTCCGTCGGTCCCTTAACCTGGTGGCTGTCTTTTCTCAATCTCCTTTTCTCTCTCTCCCCCACCCCAGTAAGGCTCTGGACGGAGAAGAGGCCGGCAGACCTACAGCCGCTACCAGACCTTGGAGCTGGAAAAGGAGTTCCTTTTTAATCCTTACCTGACCCGCAAGCGGAGAATCGAAGTCTCGCACGCCCTGAGAGTGACCGAACGGCAAGTGAAAATCTGGTTTCAAAACAGGAGGATGAAGTGGAAAAAAGACAACAAAGATAAGTTCCCCAGCAGCAAATGTGAGCAAGAAGAATTGGAGAAACAGAAAATGGAAAGGGCGCAAGAGGTGGAATAGGACGGAGAAGCACAGACGGGGGACAAAAAGTAGGCGCTGGAAGTCTGGGACAGGCAAGCTTCAGAAAGCCGCCACCCACCATTCCACCTGTCCTTCCATTTATTCCAGTTAACGCTAAAGGTGGTTCCGACTTGGGGGGGTGGGGTGGGGAGGAAGGGCTAAAATACTGCTTGGGGAGGGGGACCGCGCCTTTTATTGCTGTAAAATAATGTAGCTGTGAGCGTCTTCTCCTGGTTGTCCTTTGATACATACGATTTATATAGATTAAGTAAATATATGTATATGTATGTATGTATGTGTGTGTGTGTATATATATATATACATACATATATATAGTATTTTTGCTGATAAATAAATAAAGGGAGACTACAACACAAATGTACAAAAGGCAACAGTAAAAATATTGGGTTTCTGGTTTTAGCCTTGTTGTTTGTTATTTTTCATCTTCTGGCCCGTTAAAAATTAGTAATAGTGTAATGCAATAGCTTCTGTTAACCTTGGCTGTGAAAAATCTCCCCCCCCCCCTTTACTCTTTTTTTCTCCACCTTCCCTCCTTTGCATCTCCTTTTCTTATTTGAGATCAATGCTGTGCTAATGATGTACAACATGTACACAATATTGCACTTTTGAAGACTTTCTTTTGTACTTTTTTTTCTTCTGCATCCTTTGAAATATACATACCGTAATATGCACACACATACCTTTTTCATTCCCTGTCTCTTCTGCAGGTAGCTCTGAAAATATAGCCAACAACATTAAACTGCCTATTTATGCTGTAGTTGTTTTCATTTTTGTTTGTCACAGCTCCTCCTTCCTTTTGGGTTGCCATTTTGTTTTTCTTACCTATCCTTTTAATTGTTTTACCTTTTAAAAAAAGAAAAGGTGGAAACCCAAAAAAGGTGTGCTTCTCGTTTTTTCTTGCTTTCCCTCTTGCCTTTCCCATTTAGTTGGCATGCAGAGTGGAAGAAGTTGTAAAAAGTATTTTCCCCTTGTTTTCTTTTTTTGTCCCCTCTCCGCAGGTTTACTGTGAAAAAAAGAATATACTGTATACGTGAATTACTATTCACGAATGGGGAATAGTAATTTTTGTGGGGAAACTAATGCTATATTTTGTTGCCCACTCTTAACATTGTTCTATTGTTGAAGCTGGAAGCAGCAGAAGAAAGGAGTTAAAATAAAGTTTGCAAGCCACAATTTCCCCGTGACCTTATTTCTTGATTCTGCTTAACACTTCCTCCTGGATATCCCGAAGAGACGGGTTGGTGGTGGTGGGGGGACGACACGTTAGGAGATTGGATAAACATTCTTAGGTTCAGACAAGTTATGCTAATGATGCCTTTGTCATTGCTGAATTCCAGCCTTGCTGCTCCTAACAGGAAACCTAACTCACACCCCCTTCGGGCTCTGTATACCTCCCGTGGTGAGCTTCGTGATATATACATGCCCTTCCATATGCCTACCCGTGTTTTTTTGTGGGTTTTTTTTCAACTTGACATTGAAAAGGGGACCTCAGCCAACCTCTTAACTGCAAGGCCAGCTTTATTCTTATTTGTCATACAGGGCTTTGATAAGTTTCAGTGAAACTTGCTCCTTTCCATCTCTCTTTCCCCCGTCTTCCTACCCTCCTCCCCTTCCTTTTCTAGAAGCTTTCCTTGCTTCCCCAGCAAAAAGAGTAACCAGCTGGTCATATTTTCCTTCTCCTTGTAATTGACTCCAGCAGAAGAACTGACGCGCTTAAATAGATGTTGTAATCTTTCCTCCCCGCTTTTCGGCCACCAGAAAAAGCAAAGCGAATTCCGAGGCTGAACGCCTGTGCCAGTGGAATAAATTACATAGAATTGAATGGCGTTCAGAAGGAAAGCTACTGGAGCGGACAGGGGTGGGCAGGCAGCAACTAAAATAGTATCCCAGTGCTCGGGTGGGCAATGTCGGGGTGGTATCGTCCTGAGGGTGGGGGAGCAACGGCAGGTGGCTGTAGAATGTCGGCTTATAAAACCCTCCTCAAGGTTGCCCGCCAAAGGATAGGGCGTGCATCTCTGTCGCTGGCTCTCTCCCGCGTTTTGCTCTTCGATACTCAAGTAGGGAGAAAGGAGACCACACAGACACAGTCAAGATCGACTTCATATCTCGAGAGGAGAGGAACAAAATAAAATAAATGGAAAGACAATTTCCTGTGTAATCCTAAAGTTGTTCTTTTTGCTTGGATCGACCAAGTAAGTTCCCTTTCTCTACCTCGACCCACTTCTCACTGTTTATTTCGCGTCCGTATTGCTCTTATTTTTCTCTTCTTGCGATAACTTGGTACAACCACCCACTGTAATTATGTTCTTTTCCTCGCCGCTCCCCTCCCGCATCTTTTTCCTGCCAGCTTCACTTGAGAACAGGCGGCTTACTGACTCCGCGTTCATGATTTCGCTCCTTCCCGCCTCTAGCTTGGGAGGTTCATTATCCTATCATCAATAATGCACCGTGTTGTATGTATAAATCGCAGCCACTACTCCATACATAGCGTTTCCCTCCTTTTCCTTATTACAAGAGGGAGGGGGGCACCGTTTCTGTTGGGGAGAGGGAGAGTTGGAAGGTAGGGAGGAAGGTCGGAGCGGATTGGTGCTGTTCGGATCACGTGGCCCAAGGTCACGTGGCGAAGGGAGAAAAAGGGTACTTTTTGGTGTAACTCTGGAGTCTAATTCCGTAATATATCACGGCACCTCGTAAAACCGACACAAAAACGTCCCGCCCTACAAATCACCCGGCCAGATTATGAGTTCATTGTATTATGCGAATGCTTTATTTTCTAAATATCAGGCCGCAAATTCGGTTTTCCCCTCCGGAGTATTTCCCGAGCAAACTTCTTGCGCATTCGCTTCCAATGCCCAGCGCACCGGCTATGGCTCCAGTTCCACGGCCTCTTTCGCTGCTTCCATGCCTGGTCTCTACCCTAGTGGGGGAGGTATGCACCCCCAGCCCCCCGGCATGTATTCCAGCGGCTACGGTCTGGATACCAGCTCCTTCAACATGCATTGTTCCCCCTTTGAGCAAAACCTATCCATGATGTGTCCGGGAGACGTGTCCAAGCCCAATTGTAACAAAAGCGACCAGAGGGACACGGACTTGCGGCACGAAAGCAACTTGCGAATATATCCTTGGATGCGAAGCACAGGTGAGATCCTTCGGGAGAATGGTGGAGGTGGCGGGAAAGCCTCGGGGAGAAACCAGGATCAGCGGCCGGGGGAAGGGGGGGAAGAGGTAATATTGGGGGTGGGGGAGGCTAAGATGGTGCTGAACTCCTTTTATGACGTTTGCCTCCAAAGGAATCTCTCCCACCCCTCCCCCCTTCTCTCGCTGAGGTTGCCTACAAAAGTAACCCTTAAACAAACAAATGGTTAAATATTTATTTCTTCTGTTGTTTCTGCTTCTGGCTTCCTGTATGCTGAAGACAGGGTGTTTTCTGAAAACCACGGTGTAGGGTGGAGGGTGGAAGAGAAGAAGAACGAGACAGACTATTAAAAAGTCGGTCTTGTTTCACTTTCCCTTCCTTTCTTGTCCTTTCCTTTCCCTTCCCTACTTTCCTTAGGGATTGCAAACACATAAACTCAGAAGTTTCTCTCAGATCCTGCTCTGGAGGTTGATTCTTGTTGATTGCATAGCCATCAATTTTGATTTCACAGATTTCATATTTTAAAAAAGATGGGGGACACACACATTCCCGGTGGGGTTGTTTTGTTTTCAAAAGGGCCATTCCATCAGAACAGGAATCCTAACACACACACACACACACACACACACACACACACACACACACACACACACACACACACCCCTTCCCTCCTCTCCTTAGGATGTGCAATTGCAGATGCACTTCAGACTTACCAGATTCTGGAAATTGGAAAGAGAATCAGATCACCCACCACCACCCGCCCTATCAAATTAAAATATGCGCTTATGTCAGATTTTGGAACAGAAATGTACATGAAAGACTTGTGGAACCAAAGGACTCTATAATATAAGAGTAGATGCACCGGTTGAGCTTGTTACACCTAATATCGCCTTTCCCAATTGTGTGTAGTCTATTAAATACTAACAGTCCTACCTGCCTACCTTTCTCTGTCTTTTACCTGATGTTGTACTGTTGTTAGGAAAGGCAATGTAAGTTAAACTCTAAGGCACCTTGCAAAATCCAGAGGGAAGAAAGGAAGCTTCCATCACTGGGCTTTCTAAGCTCAACTGTCCTTAACCCGTTATAGCACCATTATCACATTCAGTAATAGCTCCGTGCTACTCTTGAGAGTCAGATTTCTCTTCCATGCTTGGTGGGATTGGTGATTCCCTTTCTTACTCCCACAAATCAACTCCATTATACCAATTACTGTTACAGGATCCCAGTAGAACAAGCACATTGTATTAAAACCAACAGAGGCAGACTTCTAAGGAGCACAGAACACTTCAAGCTTGAAGTGGAAGGAAAATATGTTTTAAGTTGCAATCCTATGCACTCATATCTGAAAGGAAATAACTAGTATTGACCTCTAAGTAGTCATATGTAGGACCTACTGTAAAAGGTGATGTGTCTCTTAATATTGCCTTTTCAAGTTTGTGCTTCTTAAGAATTAACAGGTGGAGAAGACATGAATCAACCATTGGGAGGTTCCCCCCTCCTCAATAACTGAATGTAGGAAAATTGATTAGACTTTTATTGGACCCAAATATTAAGGCTAGAGATAATGAGAATATTGCAAAGGGCCAGTTTCACACATTCTTCTACAGCTAGAATTGTTAGTGGAAGTGGTCATTTCAGCCTGAGAGTGAACAGTCTTGAGGTTGTCCACAGATCAATAGGCAGAAAACTAAATGGATGTCTATAGGAATAGGAAGGGCTCCTTTGAATGGAAAGAGGTGGACAAAATTCAGGCCAGGTCTCTATCCAAATGGTGTGGAAGGAGATGGAAGCCAGGGGTGAGGGTGAAACAAAGGCTGTGTGTGTATGCACATGTGTGTGTGTGTGTGCATACAAAAAATGAAGGCACAGTAGCTGCAGTAGCTTCAAGAGCTAACATAACAAAGGTTAACTTTTCTTTCTTATTAGGTAATCCATAAACTCTGATTTACAGATTGCATATCAAAGCCCAGATTTGGTGGTGTTTGGAGTAGGGTGGAGGAGAGGCAATTAAGGACATCCTTTTTTTCCCCTTCACTTTTTTTCAAATAGCAATAGCAGCAGCTCCTGGTAGTAGAGCAAAGTGATTCTTTTTGCTTTACTGCTGGAAGAGAAGGCAAAATGCCTTCTTTTCCAGCAGCAAAGCAAAAAGAAACACTTTGTTTCCAAACATTTACTGTTTAGGAAAAGGGGGCATAGGTCTTTGGGTCTTGAAAAAAAGAGCAGTAAAGTCAGCTGGATATAAAGAGGGTGAAAATAAGATGAATGTGGGTTGTAAACTCTGCTGAACAGAAGGCTGTCTAGTCAGTCTTGCTTCAGCAGTGGAATCTCCCATTTCCAGGCAAGTTGCAAGAAAATGCAGGGGGTTGAGGCATGGGAGGTGAAGGGGAAAAATGATAGAGACAGAGAGGAAATAAGCCCAGTTTTCATTGCTGAGTAATTGCATTGCATTACTCAGATGTAAGGGGGTCTGCCTGGGGACCTGCTTGCACTCCTTCCTTCAATAAAATATTGAAGGAAAGAATACAAGGGGGTCTCCAGGCAAGCCCCCCTTACTGGAGGTCTGGCAGCTTCTTTCCCCATTCTGAGTAATGCAATGAAAACTGGGCTTATTTCCTCTCTGTCTCTATCTATTTCTCCCCCTCATCTCCCCCATGCCCCCCCTGCATTTCCTTGCAACTTGCCTGAAATTGGGAGATTCCACTGCTGAAGCAAAACTGGCCTTCTGTTCAACAGTTTACAACCCACATTCCACAGACATCTTATTTTCACCCTCTTTATATCCAGCTGACTTTGTTGCTCTTTTTTTCCAAGACCCGAAGACCTATGCCCCCCTCTCCCCCTTTTGCTGAACAGTAAATGTACTAAGTCAATCAACACATTTCAGAGAAGTAAAGTAGGGCTGTTTTAGCTCTTCCAATAACCCCTTTTACTCAAAAGTAGGAGTCTTGAACCTGTTAGGGAAACAGGCCAGCAAGAAATGACTGTAGAATTAATCCCTGGTTTGAATCCAGATTCTTTGGATGCCCAAGTAAATATTTGTGGTCAAAGACAGGATGCTTGGTTTTGGAGGAATACACATATCTACTAACTGAGCCCAGCAGCTTCAGAATTACCTAATGAAAATATCCAAATATTTTTTTCCCTCAGGGAAAGGGGTGGAATAAAATAAAATAAAACATAAACTGAAAAAGGAAGGAAGTAACGTTACCAACACATTAACCTTCTCTGGTTTACCAGATGTGGAAATTTCTGCAGGGAAGAAGNTCTGTTCAGTTCGATCAGGAACAAGCCCGGAAGTCAGACTGCTCACAGAGCAAGCACGTTTTCGGGGACAACGAGGATCAAAAGTGCTCCACGCCGCCAGTGTACCCTTGGATGTAGAGAATAAATTCCTGCAATAGTAAGTTCCTTTCCCCTCCTCATTCTTCCCAATCACATTAAGTGACAGGTGGCTACCCAGATAGAGCAGGAAATGTTTTCCTTCTAATCTGAGGCTGCAGGTAGTAGAAACAGAAATTTCCTTCAAACGTTTTTTTGCATTGCTTGCACTGTGCTTCAAACCAAGAGTGCTGCCTAACTTTGTATGTTTGTCATATTATCTGCCGGAACTTCTCTTCCGTTAGTTCTTCTCTTTAGTCAACTTTCTGGGAACTGAAACCGCGAGATTTATGGACTGAGCGGTTCTGTCTTGTTAGCGGTCACTCACTAGGGACTATTTAGAAAGGTACACTATATTGCCAAAAGTATTCGCTCACCCATCCAAATAATCAGAATCAGTTGTGAGCGAATACTTTTGGCAATATAGTGTATCTTTGGCACTCACACTCATCCATGCGCGCACGCATGCACGCATGCACGCACGCACGCACACACACACACACACACTGCAATTGGTCTCAAACTGACCCCCCCTCACCAATTTCAACTTCTCTTGCACACCTCTCTCCCTCCCACACAATGCCACACACCTAATTCTCTGTGCCAATCCAACTAAAATTCTGCAAACTCAGCCAGATGAATGTCCGGAGGGCTTAAATATTTGAAGGGAGAGAACTACATTTTTAATGAAACTCAAGCATAATTGAATGCCTGCCTGAAGAGGAGTTGCAGATAGCTTTTCTTTCACTCACTCTCCCACCCTCTTTGTGATCACGTACTGCCACCAGGAGCCATAATTTCCATGAAAATTAATTTAAAAAATGATAAAGAGGTAGCCACAACTCCTCCACTCATCTCTAGGTACAGGGGTGCTGATTCCAAAGGGAGGAGAAATTAAGGGAAATCAATAGAGATTTAGCTTAAGTTCTGGTAGGAGGAGCCAACGTCGCTACGAGACGGACGTGCGATCTCAATGCTCTGAGGTCGCTGCCAAAACTTTTATCGCTTGGTGTNATGAAGTGGAAAAAAGAAAACAAACCTGCAGGGCCAGGCTCAAATAGCCAGGAAAGTCCAGAGGCTGAAGAAGATGAAGAAGAGTAAAAGAAAAAGAAGGGATGAAAGTGGAAATGGAAGAGAGAATGAGAAAGAAAGAAATTTGACCACACTGTTCCAGATATTTAGAGGGAAATGTAAAAATTATTATAATAAGACTACATTGAAACAAGAAACAAACGTATAAGCAAACTGAAAGGATTCTTTCATCTGCTTCTTGATACTTAGAAAACTACCTATATTAACACTTCTCTTATTTTGTTTTTGTACAACAAAATGTCTCTTTAGAATTAAATCTAGATAACTGTTTTGCTTTCATGTGGGTATATAGTCCAAGTATTTGTTTAAATACTTCCTGTTTAAAATGTCTCTCTTTTATCCTCTTGTAATTTAAAATAAATGGTTTATGAAGTAAAAATGTAGACATGGTTAGCACTTTCCCTTAGAAAAACCATGAACTCCAAATATATGAAAGGAACACAAAACGTAGCAAAAGGCAATTGTTGTACATAATTCTATAAGATTCCTGTCTTCCTCTTGTTAGGTTTGTGCCTCTATGTCTGCTTACTGGTGCTGTATTTTTTTTAAAAAAATATCCTATTTTTATTGGTGTATGCTTTTACATGTTTGGCAATGGACTACTTGCTTTTTACTGTCACTAGAGAATCTGAAATTAATATTGTGCTGAGTAAAACCAATGTATAGGATAGGCAACAAATACTTTAATCGTTTATCAACCTTTTTGATTTGTATTATGTGATTATTATGAATAGAAAGGGGGGAAGGAATTAAAATAACATTATGAATAAATGTCCAGTAATGACTTTATATGGGTGAGGAATGTCATTTATTTGGTGTGAAGAGAGATTTCCTGTGTCATTCCCCCCACTGGTGCCAGCCATCTTCCTTATTGTTTGAGCAGATTTCAAATATTCCTTTCCAGGTCCTACTCCTATTTTCTTCAATGTATTGTTATGCATGTTTAAAAGTTCCTTTCAATACTATTGCAAAAATACAGCATCCTCCTGTTAATCACATCATGTTAAAACCACAAGCTATTTTATTCTTGCCTGCATATACTCTTAGGAACTTACGAAATCGCTTGGGAACAGAATGCTGGGTTACATTCTGTGACACACTGCTTAAGGGTTGACTAGATTATCCATGATAATCATTCTCTTTTTCTCAATCAGCTTCTTCAAAAGACAAACGAACAGCAAATACGGTATGCTGCTGTTGCTGCTGCAGCTGCTGCTACTACTAAGACCGGTTCCACCACAAAACCGCGGACGACACACGACTAAGACCAACAAAATGAAATTCCAAGCAAAAAAAGCACATGCATGTTCAATTCCTTGCATTTTCTCTTCATTATCCTTCATTATCATTCTCTTATCCTATTTTCCACTTTTTATAGGGAAACAAGTATCCATGGCAAGTAAAAGTTAACAATGAAAGAAAGTAACACAAATGAGAGTGATTTCACTCAGAAGAAAGACAAGGCAATGTTTTTAACTAATTTCGGACACATTCAACAAATCATTTTAGTTTAGGATTTGCACTTTCACACACTAGAACGTTATTGCAGTACAAGGAGGGGAGCGGTATCTTAAATACTTAGCATTTTATTTTTTATGGTTGAAAAGTACAGCTTTGCTTTTGTTTTCATTGTACACACACACGGCTAAAGGTTAGAATTTAAAGACAATTAGAATGAGAAATAAATACCGTAGGAAAATCAAGGCGAAGTTTCATCAATCACATAAGTAAACTTAAAGTAAAAATAAAATGATAAAATTGAAACATATTTTCACTCTCTCACACTCTCTGAAACATTATTTTGATTTTTAAAAATTCTTTCCAGTATTTTTCAGAGTTATACGTTTCGCTTCAAATGTACACTAACTTTATTTTTGAGAAGGAAAATATTTTTAAGAAATTACTTAGATTATGAAAAGAAATAGAATATCCATAGATAAGGTCTTGTAATATTGCATACAGTTACACCTATCCACAGAAACACCACACAGAAGATATATGTATTATGGCATGTGAGTATGGACGTGCAATAGATAGGTGCAATAGATGCTCACATATAAAATTATCAAAATAAAATATTAGAAAATAATTGCTTTGCTGTTAATTGACAGCTGCCCCAGAAAGACATATCAGTGGTACGTGCCTGAATTTTCTGGGTATCTATCCAGCAACAAAAAATTAAGGAGAGGGTCTAAATTTTTCTTTGAAATGGGTCAGATCTGAAAGACCAAATAAGCAGAAATGTATGTTTCCTTCTCAAACGAAGTAATTTCAGTGGATAGGTTCTGAGGGTGAAAACAGAATCCCTGAACTGTCTTATCACCCACCTTGTGCGATTTTGCTGCATTGGACCACTACTATTGCACTTGTGGCATGTACCACTACAGTAGTGTGTACAACTTCAAAAACCTTAGTGCGCCTGTTCGCAGCCTGCCTGCCTGCATGCCTTCCCATATGTAAATGGACATGCCCCATATGCATACATATACAAATGTACGAATACAATAACAGCTATATGTCTGCCTCCGTTAAATGTGCTTCTTACGACCGTTTTTCCCCCGATGGCTTGAAACTGCGGCATTTAACGTTTTAATTTCGTGGCGAATTTCCGGAAGGAAAATGTCCGCGGGAGAGGAGATTTCTCCCTCCCAACAGTCTGATTAAGCTAAGGGGTACTACTTTTGCCTTAAAGGAAACAAAACACAATTTCAGAACAAGTGCCTTTATGCCTGTGTCCCTCCTCCCTGCAATTCCAGTCTACGGGTATGGAGACAGTGGCTGATCTCAATAGCGAAATAAGTGTCGAAAGCTGGGGAGGGCTTATTGCAGAGAGGCGGCTTTGCAGAGGAGGTTCTTTTAACCATTAGTCAAAGATAGGTCGTTTAAGCCCCCACCCCCACCCCCGCGCGCGCAAAATGTGACGAGGCCCCCAGTCTTATCTCTCCCTCTCCCTCTTTTTTTTTTTTTTAAAGAAAAGATGGCGACTGAGAAAAAGACTGCTGTTAAAGCAGTCATGAAGAAATGCAATAAATTTCTTGTTGTTTTATGAAAATTTGCAACTTTGTGATAGAACTTTATGAGTGGCTGGGTTCTGCGATTGGCCAGAGCTGGTCATGTGGACTACTAACCGTGAACATGAACTTTTTATTATTTCCCATGCGGTTATTCTGCCATTCTTTTGGCTGCTGTACCTTGGGTTGGACCACTGTCCTCTGTAGGACTGTCCACTCTTTTAACATTTTTAAAAACTTTCTTGTATAAGCTCAATAGGGCTAAAAATAGAGGAGGAGCAGGGGAAGCACAGGCGGGCACAAGCACGCACGCACACACACACACACACACA